GGAAGCACTGTCTGACGCGTCTGCCTCCGCGACCCGAAAGGAGAAGCGGCGATGGAAGATGAAGATGTTTCACTATATTTACCCTGAAAATATGCGAAAAGGAGAGTCAACATTACCGTGAGTATGTTGCTATCAGGCCACGAGCAACAAAACATGAAGAATAGTGAAAACAATGTCTGGACAAGTAATAACATTGATGCTAAAAATTCTTCTAATAGTAGCAATGAAGCGTTGTCTAAAAGCATGAACAAAGGAAGTCAGAACAGAAGAAAAGCATTCCAATCGTTCTTGATAGCGCATTTAAACCGGAACAAGATACACAATCAATTTGAGCAGAGGTGACAAATCTGATGGTTGACATTTTCACCAAAATCTATAATTAACGCATTAATTTCGTTCGTAGGTTTTGTGAATGATTTATAGCCATCGTAGAACATTAAAAACCTTGCAACCATTGTTCGACAGACCAGGCGCAGCAGCTCTTTTCATAATTTTCACTTCATTACTTTGCTATACCTTAGTTTCCGCAGTCCTTTCTTCTTTTATTCATGTTCGAAAACATGATTCTTCAATGACTATATTCAAACAATAAACTTTCACTAGAAATTGTCTGTTAATTTATGCAGACAGGATATTAAACCTATTGGGCTAAGCTTCTAAAGTAGTTACTCGTTGCTATTCCGTTTCAGTTGCGTATGTTATATTTTGATCACTATATTCGTAGTTACACCTAAACGAATTTCACCCGACAAATCGGCCTAATGATGTCTTAGAGCATAATGGGGCCTTACAAACCAATGGGCATTTCTTTGCGTCACTTTAAACTACTTCGCTGTAAAACAGTTTGGGCCTCGTACCCAAAAAAGATTTCGGCTCGACCATAGCCCGAGTTCTGTGGTTGCTACATTGCGATTTGTTCAGTTCATGATTTTGCGAGCGAAGAACTGCTTTGGTCAATAAAATGGTATACACGCAAGTATTGTTCAACACCATTAGGCTGTGGCCTGTTTAAAATGACTTCGCAGTAATCAGCAGTTCACTGTCGTCACAAAATACGGTTCAGACGCGCTATTTATCGAACATGATATTGAGAGAATCAAAGTTCAAACAGTTGCACATGATTCTGGAACTAGAGAGACGCTCAACTGTAGTGTCCATGTATTCTAGCAGCGCTTTAAGCCTTCCTAATATATTTATATGTGAATATCCATTATCCGACTAGTCCACGTTATAGATGTGCAATGAACAAGTCGATACTAGCATTCCCCATTTCCCACTTTTTGCTTTCATCATTGACCGAGTAATTTGTCCATCAAATCATTCCAATGTGTTCTTGGAGAAATGACTCGACGTTGGCGGCCCAGCAGAACACAGCCCATAATTCCTGAAGTGCACTGGTTTTCTCAGGCGAAACACATGATCGACCACCTTCTCCCGGAGTCATAAAAAAAGAAGCTACGCGTTTATTTCCAGTTATCGAATGTGTGTATGGAACGTGAGTCCACACAGACATCTTGCACATTTCATCATCTGTCGCTCATCGCGTTACCATGATTTTCTTCCCCTATGATCAGAGTAACATTCAGCGCCGCAGATCATGGAGGGTAGCAAAATTGAATCAAACAGTTCTCTTCGGTCACATTGTGGAGTAATGATATTTTACATGCGATTATATTCAGTCTAAAGGGTAACTGCCATGTTGCGAAATTCGCTCCACAATACTTTGCACACGAAATAAAAATTATAACATCGATCTTTCAAAATCAAACAGAAACGACTTTTAGCAGAACATTTCTTATTCTAAAAAATTTATATTTATAACCACGGTTATAAACTTTAAAGTATGACGGAAAGCAACGCTGTTAAACCATCTTCCGTTCGTTTCAAAACAGCGACGTAGAAAAGCAACTGCCATTACGCCGTCGTCGCCGAAAAATTTCCGCTATCGCCTAGCCATAAAGATCTTCATCATCGTTCGCAGGGACGCCCGATCCTCCGCCCGATTGGTCACCTTCTCCAGGAAACCTAAATCGACCCAGAATCATAATATCAACTTGTCAAATAGGCAATGTAGAACGAACAACACGAAAAACAATGTCATGTCAATAAAATTGTTAATTCCACTCACCGGAAATTGGTCCCGAATCCACGCTGTTGTTGCAAAGTCTGCGCGAACATTTCGTACTTGCGGATGTCATTGTCTGAAACAGAACGTCTGGCAAACCGCATCGCTTCTTCGAAATGGTCCCGACGAATCTCCGGCACAGGATCATAGCATTCCTCTTCCTGTGTTAAACGAAACAGAATTCATTTCCGCAATAAAAACGCTTTCAAGAAGAATCAGTTGTAAAATTTTAGAAATATTCAGGATCAATCCTGATGCTATAGACTTGATGGGCAAACAAAGTCGAAGTAGGAAAATTAATACGTTTGTTTTGGACAAAACAGCTCCTGTTAGCATTACGTAGCATTTTTATGACATGAAACAATGAGAAACAAATAATAAATAAATAATAAACAGCAGTAAAGAAAATAAACATTGTTATAATATTCTGGAAGCTTCGTGATATATTTATTTTATTTATACCCTATCATATATCTGTTTATGTAATCTACACATACGAAACATTTAAATTATAATGATATATATCAACCCCGCCATTGCCGGTCTGAAATTCGAATGAAAAAGTAGGAGAGTCAGACACCGTGGCGAGGTCCCTGTAAATCTTAGCCAACTGCCCCTCATCGTAATGCCGTCATGAAAATTACACCGGCTCAGATGTCGCCTGGGTTACGTAGAGCTGTGCATACTGTTGGAGACTGAGGAAGGCTGTGAAAAGTTGGCGACCAGAACTTGCTCATCGTCTTCTGGCAGCCCGGGACATAGCACCACACCATTGGGTGTCGAAGATCGAAGAAACGATGACAATATAACTACCAGTAACGGAGCCGCTATCCTTTCTGAATGGAAGAAGCCGACAGCGCGATGCCATTATAGCGGGTCAGAAAAAATTGCAACGACAATGGGAGATGACGCTCAAAAATTGGAATATACATCACTCAGATGGAAAGAACAGGAACGAATTGATAAGGATGAAAGGCACTAACTCAACATAATTGGACTCTCGTCAACGAAGCGCAAAGACTCTGGAAGACTGAAATTATGCGGGTGGATGCAGTTCTACTCAAGAACCGATATCACGACGGCGGCCATTAGTAGAATCACTGATTGGAAGTCTGTCAGGGGAAGGGTGGCAACCCTCTGACTGAACCAACAACAGGCTACAGTATATGCGCCCAATTTGGAGGTGAATATGAGTTCCTAATGAGGAAGTGGAGTTTGCTCTGTACGAATTGCTGATTACTGCGTACCTCATTCTAACGGGCAATTTTAATGCGCATAACAGAGCAAATACTGAAAAATGGAAAGGCTTGATTGGAAACAATGGTCTTAGCAATCTGAACTAGTTATGGATTTTGTACAAAGAGGTCAGAAAAGAACTTCTTGATGAACACGAGACGTACAACTGGCAGTCAACGAAAATACAGAATTCAAGAAACTGCTTGGAAAAAGCGGTCAACTCGCACACATACATTAATAAAGAAGCGCGCGAGGCGGCAGCAAAAGCAATGGCGAAAATGAAGGCTAATCACTGGGAGTAGTACGGCGAATGTTGAAGTCAAATTTCCAGAAGACAAACAAGGTATTCTGTTAAAGCATCCGCTGCCTCAGAGATGAAAAGAAGCGCAGTTTAAGAGTCCTTAAGAACATGTCTGAATATGCTTTTAGAGAAGAGGAGGAATTTCTTCGGTGAGGGAAAGTGCACTCTGAAGATCTCCCTAAAACTGAGCAGCCGCAGGAAGAATTGCCTGAAGAGCAGCAGGGAACGGATATTAGTATCTTTGTAGATGAAATCACACAGGCTGTGAAAAGCTTGAAAATGGAAAGGATGCTGGAATTGATGAAACCCGCCCTGAAATGCTCAAGGCATTAGGCGGAAAAAACATGTGCTGGCTTACTGTCAAATTGCAATGATCACGGAGAAGACACAAGCGGACTGGAGAACGGGAATTGTTGTACCCTTATTCAAGAAGGGAGACCACAAGGAGTGCTCCAATTATAGGGGCAATTCGTTACTGAGCCTCCCAGGTAAAGTCTACGCAAAGGTGCGTTCTGTCGCCTCTCCTGCTTGTTGTACATGGATAGAATAGTTAAGTGCAGCCAGGGCAATGAGTGCACCCGTAGGAAATATCGAAACGAGAAGACAGTTGTTTGGAAACGACCCTGCTTTGTAGGCATATTCTGAAACTGATCTCCGTTGCTTTCTGTAAAAGTTCACAGATGAAGCGATGTGGCTGGCATGCGTCCGTATATTTTAAAACGAAAAGCCTAGTGCTTTCTCGTTTTCCTGCTCACTGCCCTCCTTAGATTAACGGAGATGCCATGGAGCAGGTGGAGAAGTTCAAGTACCTGAGTCATGTTTACTCGTGATGGAAAATTTGAGAAAGAGATTAACCGGCGAGCTGCATTAGCCAGTGGTATCCTGCATGAAGTAGCCCGAACAGTTGGACTAAATCTTCATTCCTATCCTCGCGTATCGTAAGGAGTGGTGAGCCATGACTGTAAATCTTCGATCCAGAGTAAAAGCGGCTGAAATGGGCTCTATGAGATGAGTCGCCGTCCTTACGCCTCTCGATATGAGTAGAGAAATCTGAGAGCCTTGGTATATAGTCGGTGTTTCTTGAGATTG